CCCAGAAAAAAAAACGACATAAATCATAATCCATGGCTGGGAGGGGGGAATTTCTAATTTTTCCTAGGGCCAGCCAGACGAGAATTCATTTAGAAATTTTTGGTTTTCTTCCTTTTCCGATTAGTCAGAATTTTTCAGAGTTCCTGATGTTGAAAATGAATGTAATCCGAAGATCCTGGAATGGATTAAAAGTCGAAAAATCCAATTTTTTATGGGATTTTTTTTCCAACAATTTCCATAGAAAGTATAAAATATTTCAGTGGAAATTCCAGAGATTTGGAGGGGTTCAGACTGTTCTAATAGCTCCAAAAACGGCTCAGAGCCACTGAAAATCTCACCTCATTATAGGAATTTCTATGTTCTTCTGACGTTATTTTCCAAAAAAAAAAACCGATTTTCCAAAATAATGGGTCCACCTCACAAGCTATTGAAACGCTCTGGCCCATTTTTGGAGCTATTAGAATTGTCTGACCCATTGTTTGGGATGTTCGGAATGGCCGGCTCGTTTGCAACTATGATTCTTATTGCTCACAAAAAGGGAAAAAAACAGTTCTGATAGCTCGAAATATTAGAATTGCCTGACCCATTTTTTAAGCTTTTAGAATTTTCTGTCCCACGAGTCGAGCTATTAGAACGTCCTGACTCATTTTGGGAGCTAAAAGAACTTTCTGGACCATTTTGTGAGCTATAAGAACGGTCCAATTCATTTTAAAATTTAAGTTTTGATCCATTTTTTGATCTCTCCCAGAATTTGACCTACGCACTTTCAGAGCATAAATGCTCATTGCTCATTTTCTCTTCTGTTTTTCATTAATTACCCATTTCTTCTATTTTTAGAAAAAAAAAGAGGGAAATTTAGGTAAATTGAGGTAATTTAGTTACGTAGGTTTCTTTGAATTTTTCAGCTGCATTTTTTGAAGAGAGTGCCTGATTTTTGGGTCTTTAAAAGGGTTTTTATTTGGCTGGAAATCATTAATTTTGCAGGTTTAATTTCAGAAATTTTGAGAAAATTCAAAAAAAATTTGGAAAAAAAAAGTTTTTTTTAATCAAATTTCGAAATTTCGGATTTCTGACCTAGACGTATATTCTAATTTCCGGAGATTGACGAACTTCCTGTTATCATTTTATCCAATTTTTTTTGTTTTTTTTTTCCTTATCATCCTTATCACCCATACGTCACATTTCTGCCTAAAAAATGTATTTTCTACTTTCATCTGATTTTTTTTTGTCTATTTCGTCACAAAAGAACAAACTCGATTCTAGTTTGATTGCTCATATTTTTCTACTGATAGTGATAATAAAAAATTGGTGATAAGATAGGACATGTGACTTTGAAAATCCCAAAAGGGAATATTTTCGAATTTGAAGTCTCAAAAATTACTCATATTTCTTCTCACATTTTTTCTTCGTGATCTTTTTAGTGTCGAAATTTTCTGACTAGATTTTTGGAGCTTTAAATTTTGCTGAAATTTTCAAATTTTGTATTTAAATGTTGCTGAAAAAATGGAGAATTTGAAAATGTTGAGAAAATTTGAGCTAAGCCACATTTTGGCAAAAATACGAATTTTAACAAATTGGGTCCTAAAAATTAAAAAAAAAAATTTTTTTCAAAAAAAACACTTTTTTTTTGGTTTTTCCAACTTTTGAGATCTGTGACGTACGGAGTACTTTGAGCTAAAAATTTCCAGATTTTTCACAAGTTCATAGCTTGAATAGCCCTCTAATAGGATGGTTTTTGACCGCGTGACGTGGTTTTGTGCAAAAAAAATTTTGTAGGATTCTTTGGTTCCAATAGAATGCTTTTTTAGGTTTTAGCAGGTAGGCCAATGTTTCATAAGGTTCTAGGACTACTGTAGCTACAAAAAGTTTTTCAGGAAAAATTTTGGGAAGAGCCGCAGACAGCTAGAGTTTTGCGCCCCTCGCTCTAGTTCCTTATGTTTAAAGGCGCGTGGTTCAAAAAATACCGTAAATAGAAAAAGGTAATTAACTAAAAAATGATCCTTATAAAATTTTGAACATTTTATCAGTTGACCACTTTTTGATATCTTTCCCAGAAACCGAGATACATCGGGTAAAAGAAAGAGGCACCATTCTATCCCATGCAGGCTCTAACCCTTCCACGTTTGACCCAATTGATATCGATTCCCGGGAAAGATATCAAAAATAGTCCACTAACAAAAAATTTTAAATATCATAAGGTACATTTTAGTAGTTGACCACTTCTTTTTAGGTACCGTAGTTTTTGAGATACGCGCCTTTAAAGATAGCGCTCCTAGATCCGCTCCTTTTAGGCGCCAAAAGACTTGCAATCTTTAAAGACGCATAGCTTGAAAACTAGAATAGCTAGAAAAATATTGTCAACTGACGAAAAATTTAATATTTTATAAGGATTGTTTTGTTGATAAACCAGTTTTTTCTAGGTACTTTAGTTTTTGAGATACGCACCTTTAATGAAAGCGCGCCTAGATCCTCTTCTTTTCAGCGGATAAGGTGTGCAACCTTTAGAAGCGCATAGCTCAAAAACTACGGTACCTAGCAAAAAGTAGCAAATTAAAAAAGTGTGTAAAATTTTATAAGAAATTTTTTACTAGTTGACCTCTTTTTGTAACCTTAGACAGGAGTTGAGATAAATTGGGTCAAATGGAGAGGATCTTTGATAACAGGCTTCAAACCAGGTTGATGACTAATTCTTCCCCACTTGTGACTTCTGTTACTTATCTCATTTCAAGTTATTTTTTTCAGTTTTTCAGCTATTTTCAGCATTTTTCAACCCATCAAAACCACGAGTTCAAATCCCTGCAGACACCCTTGACGTCGTAACTTTTTCCTAACTTATCTTATTTTTCTTCCTTTCCTATTTTTTGTTCCAAATGATTCAGAATATGATAGTAAGGTGATTAGGGTGCCTATTGTTACCCTGGGTAAATCCTTAATATCATTTTTCTCAATAGATGACGTCTCAAAAGGGGGTGGGGGTGCTTCTATGGATATATTTATAGGAGAAAAATGACCCATTTTCTCATTTTGCCCTCTCCTTGAGTCACTTTCTAGGCCGAAAAAAATTAATTGGGTCCCTTTTTTCTTCTTTTTTTTTCTTTTTGCTAAACTTGTCACGTATGTGGCTGCATAGAGGAATTGACACATCAAACTCATAATAGGGATTCCTACATTTTTTGAATTTCGTACAATTTTGTGCAAATCATTATTTT